GCCCGGAAAAATCGCTCTGCATGTCACTTCTGGTATGTGTGACATAGGTTCGCCATCACAGTTATATGCTAACCATCATCCTGGTTTATTTGCATTTTCAAAGAAATTTTGCTTTGTAGCTTTTATTTTATTCACCAGTTCTTCATTTTCCATTAGATTCATATGCTTTTTCAAGTCCATCAAATTTTTGATCTTTTTATCATGAGGGTTGATGCCTGGCGATGTCAAGTGCCAACATAAGTGCCAAATGGGCTGTCCTTCCTCCTTCCATTAACATCGCCGCAATTCCTGAAGAGGCGATGGCAAGAGCAACTTCTCCTGAGACCTGATTTCAGCGAGAATTAAATGTTTTCCCTTTGCCTCCAAAAGCGTCAAGAAAAAAATGATACCACCTTGTTGTTTTGCTAGCTGATCCATGATCATTTGGTATGCTTTTTTCTGATCTTGATTTAGAAGTGACTTCTAGTCCGCGATATATGCACTAAGCTGTTTGACGATGTAGTTCTTTTCTCATATGTAACCTGTGTGAAGTACGTCGTGTTGGTCTCGTAGTGGTGCAGGCAGGCCTAGTTGCAATAATGTTTTATTGATCATGGCCATACATTTGTCCTCAAGAATAATCAAAGCCTTGTTGAAGGCTTTGATTATTGTTTGTTTCCGGACCAAATGTAACTTCTAATGTTGGATTTTCCCCCTTAGTAGAGGGAGCCCCCTTGTGGAGTACTGTGAAGCCATTACCATGGCAACTTTACTATGCTGTACAGTAGAAGCCATTTTAAGGCAGTACAGTAGAAGTCATTTTAAGGTACAACAGGCTATATCTTAACAGAACACACACCTGAAGGGGTGTTAGCGGTGTCTTACCCGCACAGTATTTTTTTTCCAGAGCGTAAGTCATCTGTGTACCAAGTTTGGTTGAAATTGCTCGAGGCGTTCCAGAGTTATGCGGAACACACACACACACACACACACACAGAGCCATTTATATATAGTGAGAGAGATTCTTGAATCCTTTTCCTTTCCTTTCTTCAGTCTTTTTCCTTACTGATTCAGTAAGACAGTAAGCACAGCAGTAAAATCACTTTCCTAAAGGACTGCATCCAACTTTTATCCTGATCAGAAGCAGTTGTGTAGATTTCACAAATTATGACACCGCTATTAAATTTCTATGACATTATGTTGCAATATTTAGTGGATCAATTCAACAAAATTAATTTGGGAACTGTTGTAACAGTTACATTATAAAGGACATTGGTTATGATCATTGATTATGCATGTTACAATCAATATTCAATGAAATATATCCCATAAAACAGCATCAGTACAATGTCATTACAATATTTCTAATGTGATACGGCAGTGCTAATAATAAACAAATATGATACCTTACATAGAATATTGTTAAGAATATTACTTGAGATTTAAATGTTCTGCTGCATTATCTAAATCTTGAGTCAGAATTGAACAGATCAGGAGGGACAATTTTTTAAACTATTAACTTATCACCACTACCAAAAAAAACAAATCATAATTTGATTTGAGAGCCAGTTTGGTCTAGTGGTTAAGGTACGAGGCTGGAAACCAGGAGACTATGAATTCTAGTCCTGCTTTAGCTATGAAAGACAGCTTGTGACCTTGGGCCAGTCCAGGGGTGGGCTGCTGGGGGTTCGCAGGCAGAGGTGGGTTCTACTTACCTTTACTACTGGTTCGCAACGGGGCTGTGCGCACGCTCTTCTGCACATGCGCAGAAGCATTTTGATGACATCAGGGTGGAGCCTCCCGTTGGTTTTACTACCAGTTCTATAGAACCGGTGAGAACCGGGGGCAACCCACCACTGTTTGCAGGCATTCAGGAGAACCTCTAGCTAAGATTCTGAGCAGTTTGGAGAACCCCCAAATCCCACTCCTGGCTGGGCCCACCCTGCCCCACCCTCCCCTCCCCTCCCTGGAGTCCCCACATGGCCCATTTTGGATGCAGGTAAGTGCAGCACGCATGCGGAAACTTGGGGAGGGCGAAAGTTTGGGAAGGCTGGAAACAGGCCCATTTGGAAATGGGCCTCCGGAGCCTGGGGAGGCCATTTTCGCCCTCCCAGAGGCTCGAGGAAAGCTTCCGGAGCCCATGGAGGGCAAAAACGCCCCCCCCCCCATGGTGCAGGAAGCCAACTAGGCCACACCCACCACGGCCACACCCACCCAGCAATCGGACAGAAAACCCCTTGCTAAAATTTTTGAAGCCCATTCCTGGGCCAATCCTTCTCTCTCAGCCCAATCACAGTGTTGTTGTGGGAAAAATAGGAGGAGTGAGGTGTGTTGGATATGTTCACCAGTTATTTGTAAAAATAATAAAGGTAGGATACAAATCAAGCAATCAATAATATTATAGCAATTTCACCTTAAAATATTGCAGGATCATATTCAAAAAGTAGTCCTTTTTTAATGTTTATTAAATCTGTGACACTGCAGTGCAATTTTAATTTTACTTTCTTCCACTGCATTATTAAAGTAGCTCTTTTCTCAACAGACAAAGTAAAACAGCTTCAAAGCAAGAGGAAAATCCCCCTCTAAAAATCTATTGGGGCCCACAAGGAAAGCAAATAATTAATTGTGTTGATGGAAATAAGAAACACTTGATATAAAACCATTGGTGATTTCTGTCTAAATCTGTCAGTCAGTCAATTGAGAATATTTAGAGATATTTCTGCAAGACTGGGAATGAATTACAAGTTTAGAATATTTGCTTGCACCAGATATAAAGAGCCAGAGTATTCCTTGCTTATGCTTTAAAACCACACAACAATACTTGCTTTGTGATTAATATCAAACAAACAATTTGAATAGAGTTAGAGGTCTTCTAGTCCACCCCTTGCTCAAGCAGGAGACTCTATATCATTTCAGACAAATGGCTGTCCAGTCTCTTCTTAAAAACCTCCAGTGATGGACTGCCCACGATTTCTGAAGGCAAGCTGTTCCACTGGTTAATTGTTCTCACTGTTAGGACATTTCTCCTTAATTCCAGGTTGCTTCTCTCCTTCATTAGTTACCATCCATTGTTTCTTGTCCTGCTTTCTGGTGCTTTGGAAAATAAGTTAACCCCATCTTCTTTGTGGCAGCTGCTCAAATACTGCTATCATGTCACCCCTAGTCCTTCTTTTCTCTAGACTAAGGTAAAGGTAAAGATTCCCCTCATGTGCTAGTCATTCCCGACTCTAGGGGGTGATGCTCATCTCCGTTTCAAAGCCGAAGAGCCAGCGCTGTCCGAAGATGCCTCCGTGGTCATGTGGCCAGCATGACTAAATGCCAAAGGCGCACGGAACGCTGTTACCTTCCCATCAGTGGTGGGATTCAAAAATTTTTACTACCGGTTCTGTGGGTGTGGCTTGGTGAGCGTGGCATGTCATGTCATGGCTTGGTGGGCATGGCTTGGTAGGCATGGCAGGGGAAGAATACTGTAAAATCTCCATTTCCTCCTGATCAGCTGGGACTCGGGAAGCAGAGAATAGATGGGGGCGAGGTCAGTCAAAGGTGGTATTTACCGGTTCTCCGAACTACTCAAAATTTTCATTACCGGTTCTCCAGAACTGGTCAGAACCTGCTGAATGCCACCTCTGCTTCCCACCAGAGGTGGTCCCTATTTTTCTACTTGAATGTTTTTATGTGCTTTTGAATTGTTAGATTGGCAGAAGCTGGGACAAGTAACAGGAGGTCACTACATTCATATGTTTTAGTCTCCAGGCCCTTAATCATTTTAGTTGCTCTTCTCTGCAAAACTTTTTTGTAATGTGATGGCCAAAACTGGATGCAATATTCTGGATGGCCTTACTAAGGCTTTATAAAGTGGTACTAATACTTCACATGGTTTTGATTCTATGTCTCTATTTATGCAACTATAGATTGTATTAGCTTTTTTGTCTGCCACTGCACACTATTGGCTCATATTTAAGTGATCGTCCACTAGGACTCCAAGGTCCCTCTCACAGTTACTGTTTTTGAGCCAGGTCTCACCTAATCTGTACTTGTACCTTTGTTTTTTTCCTGCCTAGGTGTAAAACCTTGCTTTTCTCTACATTAAATTTCATTTATTTTATTTTTTTGGATAGGGTCCATTGTTCAATCCTGTCAAGATCCTTTTGGATCTTGACAGAATTTGTCTTCTGGGGTTTTGGCTATTCCTGCCAATTTAATGTCATCTGCAAATTTTATGAGTTCTCCTTTTATTCCCTCATCTAAATCTTACATATTGTCCTACAAGAGTCAATAAGGAAGCAATTGGGACATCATAGCCCTACGTGACACCAAACTGGGCTGAAACATGTGGTTTGAAAATTGTGGGTCAGAACATTTTTTCCCAAAATGCGAATGTGAAATGTGAGACTTTGTTTCCTATGCCCTTGTCTATAAAAGGAAACCTTAAAAGTCTACCAAATTATTCTTTCCAAGACGCCTGTGAAAAAGTGGACATCACAAAGTAAGTGGTCTGACTTTTGACTCAACCCTGAAAAGGGATACTTCATGTAAAATCATTGGCAATTATTATTTTTTTCTAAATCTGTCGTTCAATCAGTCGAGAACTTTTAGAGACCTTTCTGCAAGCCTAGGAAGGGATTAAGAGTTTAATCTGAAATATTTGCTTTTGCCAACTATAAAAAGCTAGAGTTAGGTTAAAAAAAGATGGCCGCTGTATTTTTCTATGCAGACTGCTGATTATTTCTAGATATGTTTATTTGATTGAGCAGTCAAAATGCCTGTTTTTATTTATGGAAGACCTCAGAATGGTAAACTTCATTTCTATGTGCTATTTCAATACCTTTGAGCACATGGATTTCCTTTTTCAAGGCATGACTTAATTCCATGTATACTTTTTACAGTAATGAAGGCTGACTTGCTGCAGCTATTGTTCATATAATTCTATTATCTCTAGCTATCTCTAAGTATATCATATCTCATATATCTATCTGTCTGTCTGTCTGTTTCATTTCTGGTACATTTTTTGCAAAGATTAGAAGGGACATAGAGATACAGAGAAGCTGAGTGACCATTCCGCTGAAGGATCTCCCTTGTTCAACTCATGATGGGGTTGTCTTCAAGGTATTTTCTATTTTTTCTTCTACCCCTGATTATTACTATGTTAAGTAGGACACTTTGACTCCTGCATTAGTTTTTCAATTATTTCAATTATTTATTGCTTTGTAATCTTCTCATGTTCTCAAGTTTCAGGTAAGCATGTATTGGCAGTTCAAATCTGGTTTGATTTGCTACTGTGGTACCTTTAATACTCTTCATCTCCCACTTCCTTAAACTCAAATATTCCTGATTAGAATTGGGTATAATTGGGAGTGGAATGCCAGAATAGTGGAGAATATACGCAGCTCAGGATTCAATTGTCGGAACTTTGATGGTTTTTCTCTCTCTCTCTGCATTCACTAATAATATTAATAATGAAATATCCGAGGTACCCAACAAGGATTCCACAATCAACAGCTCAGGAATTGCTCCCATACCCAGTAACTGACAACCCACATAGGTTAACTTGTTTTATATTATTTTTGTCACCTTAGGCCATGCATCCCAACAATGCTGACCTTCTTAATGCTTCTTCAGCTGGCCTTCAAGGTTTCACTCCAAGAGGGACCTAACAGAGAGGATCCCAGAATACAAAAGTTAATTGAAGGTATCTGTATGAGAGTGTGCTGTGTTGTTGTTTTTTATGCATAGAAGGAGGGTGCAGATAGTTTCTGTCTTTTTATAACCTTTGTTATAAAAAGCTATCATACAGTACAGCTATCATGTACTGTTCTACTGATAAAAGGTTGCAGAGATATGAAGAAGTAGAAGAAAAATCCCAAAATTATATTAGGACAGTACAGTTATTGAAGAAACTTAATAACTGTTTATTTTTTTAATTTTGTTTGTCAAACATGTACAAGATAGCAGGTATAGGTATAAACATAAACATAAACAAAGGAAGTAAGTACAGATAAATGGGGACATTAAGACAGGGATGGTAGGCACGCTAGTGCACTTATGCACGCCCCTTACAGACCTCTTAGGAATGGGGTGAGGTCAACAGTAGACAGTCTAAGGTTAAAGTTTTGGGGGTTTGGCAAAGAGACCACAGAGTCAGGTAGTGCATTCCAGGCATTGACCACTCGGCTGCTGAAGTCATATTTTCTGCAATCGAGTTTGGAGCGGTTTACCTTGCATTTGTATCGATTGTTTACCAGTGTATTATTGTGGTTGAAGCTGAGGAAGTCATTGACAGGTAGCAGACAATTTTGTGTACTATGCTTAGATTGGACTGCAGGAGGTGCAATTCCAGATTGTCCAAGGCCAGAATTTCAAGACTGGTGGCATAAGGGATTCTATTGTGAGTAGAGGAGTTTGCCAGACCAATACAGCTCATCTGCCTGGAATCCACACTGTATATCAGACATTAACATGAGTGTGCAGGTCCAGAGGTATTTATGCTTGTCGTGAAATACCTCTGGACCTGCACACTTGTGTTAATGTCTGATATACAGTGTGGATTCCAGGCAAATGAGCTGTATTGGTCTGGCAAAGGTTTTGTATGCCCTAGTTAGCAATACAATGTTACCGGAGAAGAAGCTTCACAAGATTAGGTTAACATTTCTTAATGCCGTTTTGGCAATGCTGTTACAATGAGCACTGGGGCTTAGATCGTTTAAGATTAGTACTCCTAGGTCCTTGACAACTGTACTGTTGTTAACTGTACTAATAACTCAGATATGTAATTTTGAAGGAATGTATTTTTTCAAATAAGTAGAAAGTTCAGATCGCTATAATCAGATCCTGATCCCATCATTTGAATCTGTATGGAGTAGCAACACACTGTAGTTGGAGCATAAGCAGTAATTCAGTAATGAAGTCAGTAATGAATTACTAATGCACATAAGGTGTTTGCTACAAGCCATACTTCTGTCACTAATGTCTACACATCAGATGCATCATTTTGTAATTTGTATGATAATGTTGTGACTCATATGGTGTCACTGGCAGTCCCTCACCCAACCAGAAGAGGCTTAGTAAAAGTTTGGAAGTGAAATCTGAGTACAGGAAGTCCTCAGCCATTTGTTTATTGACCATTCAAAATTACAACAGTATTGTAAAAAAAAATGACAATTTTTCACACCGATGACCACTGCAGATCTCCATGGTCAACTCTGTCCCTCCATTGAGGATCCAGGCCATTTGATGGAGTTAGCACTTCAGGCCCGTATTTAGCTCTTTTGCTAAATATGGTTTATTTTCAAAACATTCTAGTGAGATAGGCTATGGGGAACACTAGGAATCTGCTTAGCTCCCTCTACTTTAGTGAGATTTCTTGTTACATTGAGCCTACTCAAACCAAATCATAAGATATGAGAGTCACACACTGTTCAACCAGGTTTCTTTTAGTCCTTGTTTGCTGGAGAAATTGCAATTGGCTTTCATTTACCCTTCAAATGGTTGCTGAAGCATGTCGGTTGGGTTCCAACAGCCATGCTAATCTGTTGTACGATTTCAGCCACTGAGCTTTGTGAACTCTGCTCTATGGCTCAGTGTTGTGTGTAAACTTCACCACAGAGTGACTTATTCTGCAGACTCTGCCTTGGTTTGTGTTAACTTCACAACCACCAATTTTATTCTTCCGATGTCTTGTACTGTATTTGTACAAGGTCCAAACGCTTGAACTTTTATATCACTGTGGTGAGTATATCTGGTTTACAGGCCTGGGATTGTTCAAAGGATCAAAATGACAGCATCCGTTCAGCTCTGACATAGCAGAAATTTCTTTTCTTCTTTTTTTTCCTTTGCCCATCAATACTCTTTTCCTCCTCTGATATATCTTCTGCTCCTCAAAGAAAACTAACAGGGCCTCTTGTTCATCTATCATTAGATCATCCCTCACAGAAACCTTCCCTAAATCTTCCTTGGCTCACAGCTTTGTTTTGTTTTGTTTTTTCATTTCTTGAAAATGTGCATATTTACACAAGGTTGTTTTACTTCCTGTTCCAAACAAGGGCGCAGTTATTTTACCGGCCTTCCACTGAGTTAATAAACTTCCTGCTCAGGCAAACATAGTTGTGGTCCATCCAGAATGAAGGAGAGATTTAGAACTCACTATTTTGTACAGGCAAAACTTGTCCAACCAGCCTTCCTATCAAGAGCTGAGTTGAGATCTGCTTAAAAAACTGGGAGTCAGGATATCTATTGTTTGAAGCTGGTGAATGTCCTTCTGTCTTATTACGAAGGTTACTCTGCTTCGTGTTCAACCAATAAAGACACTGTGTTCTTTATCAGAATATTGATTGAACAGAAAATTTAAATAACATTAGGAATCAATGGTGATTATGCCCACCACAAATTTAAATATGCATATAAGAAATATCTGCACTATTAAGTTTCCAAACTCAAGGACATATAAGCCCTGAAATATCTCTTTATATCATAAATGGGGATTTTCTGCATGAATCTTGGAGCCATTCATTCAGTGGTGGGTTTCAAAAAAATTTACTACTGGTTCTGTGGGTATGGCTTGGTGGGAGTGGCATGGCATGGCTTGGTGGGCGTGGCTTGATGGGCAAGGCAGGGAAGGATACTGTAAAATTTCCATTCCCACCCCACTCCAGGGGAAGGTTACTGCAAAATCCCCATTTCCTCCCGATCAGCTGGGACTCGGGAGGCAGAGAATAGATGGGGGTGGGGCCAGTCAGAGGTGGTATTTACTGGTTTTCCGAACTACTCAAAATTTCCGCTACTGGTTCTACAGAACTGGTCAGAACCTGCTGAAACCCATCTATGCACCCATTGATGAATATCTACACAAGGGATTTCATAAGAATGTACAGTTATGAAGGATATACTTCCAATGATAGAATACCATTATATATATATGGGAAGAAACCCGTAATATTAACTGTACATACACACACACACACACACACACACACACACACACACACACACACACATATATATATATATATATACATATATATATATATATACACACATATATATATATATATATTTCCTAAAAGTGAAATTACTCTTAATTTAATTTCAGTCATATTTCCTACTTCAAAATAAATGAGATAACCCTCATGGGTTTTTTTTTAAAAAAAAATCTGACAAATCCAATCATTGGGTGCCTGAAGTAAGAACTCTAGGAAGGTGGGTCAAGTTATTGCGTCCTTCTGACTAGATGAAAATGTTCTCTAAGGTCATGTATATATATTAGAAATATCATTCTTTTCATTGAAGAATCTCTAATTGAATTTGATATCAATGAGGAAGTCTAACTCAATTCCATTCCCATCCAGTGCTTGATCATCTTAAGCTGCAAATAAAAGAACTTCAGGATGTCATGATCCAATTTAAAGGAACCACCATCAACATTTTGAAAGGTAAGACATTTGGGAGAAGAGGTTAGGCACTTCTGGCATGTGTGTTTCCACATCTTGATCTAGCTAACAACCTTGGATTTCCCTGCTGGTTCCCCATCCAAATATTAAACAGGGACAATCCTATTTGGCTTTCAAGGCAGCTCTGAGTTCAGTGGCCTCCAACAGTGGCTCTGATAACACAAGAGGAATTCTCTTCTGTGGGTTTCTCATTGTTTATGCACCACTGTACACCAATAATCCTCGATTTACAACAGTTTGTTTAGTGTCTGTTAAGGATATTGTGGGTTATTGAGCAGAGTACCCTTTGAGTATACGCATGAAAAGCGACTGGGAGTGGTTGTGAACAATCAATACACATTCACATGTATTGTGAATCACAATACAAATACACTGAGTTGTGGTAGTCATTTACTTTTCAAAAAAAGTAAAGCAAAGTCCAAAAACAATCCAAGTCATACACAGATAACACAAGAGTTAAAAGATCAATCCAGGGATATTTCAAGTACAAAGTCTTCTTACCAGTTGTAGTCATACACAATAAAACAGTTCTTCTTGAGTTTCAAAACAGGAACAAGTTCAATATCAAAACATTCAATAAATAGTAGAAAGCAACATGTAGCTATGATCAAACAGTGATCATGCAGAGAGATCAGGTAGAGAGTTACAGCAATTAAGCAGATAAAATGGTGTAGTATCCACACAAGCCATGATCCAGACTTCTCTTAAGTACATTGGCTACAGAGCTTAGCCAATCAGGATACAGGATGATGCAATACAGTCTTAAAGCAATATAATACCTTTCTGACTGCAAACATACATTGTTGGTTTATATATTGCCTGACCAACTAGTTAGACAAATAACCATTTCCTAACAGTGTCAGTTCGAAGTTACAACAACAATTAAAAAAGCAATTTAGAAATGTTTCTCACCCTTATGACCATTGCAGCATCTCCATGGTTACATGATCAAAATTCATACACTGGACAACTGACTCCCTTTTATGACAGTTGCATTGTCCCAGAGTCACATGTCACACACACACATACACACCTTTTGCAACTTTCTGACAAACAGAGTCCATGGGGAAGTCAGATAACAGTAACATTTTATTACCTTAACAACTGCAGTGATTCACTTAACAAATGTGGCAAGGAAGATCCTAAAAGGGGCACAACTCACTGAACGAAAGCATCACTTAGCAACAGAAATTTTGGGTTATCAGGCAAGTGGTGTGTCACCAGCACACTTCTAACACTAATCAGTAAATGAGTGATAAAATTGATTGAGAATTCGGAGAGCTTCTGTCAGGCACAGGTAATCATATGCCAAAAGATTAATTGCTCCAACCTATCCACAAGAATGTGGTCAACTAAAGTTCAATACTAAGTTGATGCCAGATAAGGGACTCAAGACAGAGTTGCACTTGGAACGTAATGACTCTTAAGCTGATGATGCATTTAACTCTGCCCCCAGCTCTGCCTGCTGTTCTACAGCTTTTTCACCAAAAGAAAAAAAATTAATGCAGGTAGTAAAATGCTAATCCTCCTGTCATTTCCACACTGCCATTTGTATACACAAATAAACAAAGATTTGTTTATTTGGGTATACAAATAAACAGAGGCTTATTTGTACACACAAATAAACAAGGCAAGAAATAATGGTTGGAAACTAATCAAAGAGAGAAGCAACCTGGAATTAAAGAGCAACTTCCTATCAGTGAGGACAATTATCCAGTGGAACAGCTTCCCTTCAGATGTTGTGGGTGCTTCATCACTGGAGGTTTTTAAGAAGAGATTGGACAGCCACTTGTCTGGAATGGTATAGGGTCTCCTGCCTAAGCAGAGGATTGAACTAGAAGACCTCCAAGATCCCTTCCAACTCTGTTATTCTAGTCTAGTCTAGTCTAGTCTAGTCTAGTCTAGTCTAGTCTAGTCTTAGTTCAGTTCTTAGTTCCAAGATCCAATGTTTTTCCAGTAAAACAAATCTGAAGAGGGACAATTCAACCTAAATGGGCTGCATTGTTTCTGGTACTAACAGAAATCATGACAAGAAATCAAAATATTTTCAAGAGCAGCTTAACTCCTTGTGAGAGAATCAATTGTGTGATGACATCAGATAAAGAGGCAGGACTTGGATTTCAAGTTTTAGGGTGGGTTTTTTGTTGGTAATTTTATTTTGGTGTGTGTTTTTTGCTTTGTTTTCTTTTCTTTGGTACTTTAGTCACCCTTTGAGTTACATGGGATTTTGGAAAGAAATTGATTCTCTAAAAGAGAATATTTGTAGTTAGGTTGAAATGAATGCTCTTTCAGTTTGTTTGTTTGTTTCCAGGGGTGGGCTCTACTTACCTTTACTACCGATTCGCAATGGGACCACATACGCAGAAGCACTCTGATGACATCTGAGTCAGTGGGTGGTGCCTTCCTCCAGTTTTAGTACCAGTTCTATAGAACCAGTCCGAACCGGGGGCAACCCACCACTGGTTGTTTCCTTTTAGATGTTTCATTATCCAAACTAGGTAGACTAGCACTAATGATGTTACCTAGTTGCAGTAGTGGGTTTTAAAACCCATCTCTACCACTTCGCTCATGCGCTTGCGCATGCTTGTGCACATGTGTGACACTTCTGCACATGCGCAGAAGTGTGCGGGTGGGCACAGCCTCCCACCGCCGCCGCTACCCGTTCGCCCAATCTGGGGTGAACCAGTAGCAACCCACCACTGCCTAGTTGGGTAACGAAACATCTGCAAGAAAACAACCAAGCTCAGAGAGCATCAAGAACCCCTGAAGTCCTCTTCTATTTTTTAGGGGCTGCCCCTGAATGTTAGCTACACAATTTAGAAAGTACATTCTGACACTGAAAGCAATGATCTAGAGAAGTGAGATATCTCTGCTTCATTGTCCTGGATAGGAGGACAGACAACCCCCTGTCTTTAATACTTTAATTTAGATCTCTGAATGGAGCAGGGTATCCACACTGTGATTATCTCTAGGGTTAGAATAATAAAAGGGAGAGTTGAAAGCTACCTGTAGATTTCTATCTTTTATATGTTTTCCTTTTTTTAATGACACGTTTTTTTAAAAAAAAAATCCATAACCAATGTATATAAAAGGCATGTAGAAAAGAAGAAAAAGTAGGATGCAATTAATGCTCACTTACTTGCAATATAAAATGCAAGTAAGTAAGCATGGAGATGGGAACATCATGGAGGTTACAGTTTTCCATCTATCATTAGTTGCTTCTCATGTTATAAAATGCATTAGCTTACTTTTTAAAGAAAAAAATAAAAATAAAAAGCACTGTTAATCTTTAAGAATATCTAGCTAACACAGTATAGTATCACAAACTAGAGCAATGGGCTGTAATAAATCAGATCAACGTAGGAATTTTATTTCTCCTCATTTGAAATATAATCTCTAAATCTAGAACAACCCACATTTTGGATATGGTACAAATCAATGCATAAAATGCAGTGGTGAAATCCAAATTTTTTTACTACCGGTTCTGTGGGCATGGCTTGGTGGGCATGGTGTGACTTGGTGGGCATGGCAGGGGAAGGATATTGCAAAATATCTCCCTTCCCACCCCACTCTGGAGCCAGCCAGAGGTGGCATTTGCCAGTTCTCCAAACAACTCAAAATTTCCGCTACCAGTTCTCTGAACTACTCAAAATTTCCTCTACTGGTTCTCCAGAACCTGTCAGAACCTGCTGGATTTCACCCCTGATAAAGTGGTAGTCCATTAATTGCTCCCCATTAAAAATGAATTCAGCATCAGATTAGTTTTTTTAATACAAAATTATTTTGGACATTGGGGTATAGGCCCATCGTTTGATGAGCTATTTTCCAGACCATGTTTTATATTTTATTGAAAAGCTTTCCTTTCCATTAAACTGCCAGAGAAGTAATCATGGTACATTGGCACATTGCAACACATAAACAAACACAGCACTTGAAAGCTTTGCAATTCTCTTTCCTTCTAGTTCTCCTTGGTCCTGGTGGAGAGATTGTTGATGGTAAAATTTTCCGAACGCAAAAAAATCGAGGAACTTTCCAGGATGGCAAAAGTGGCTGCGAGAACAACCTTGCCTTGCCGAGGAATGACGCAGAAAACAAAGCCCTTCAAAATATATTAGTACAGCCTGGCCAAAAGGCAGTTCTGGGAATCACTTACAATGCAGCTGAAAACATCTTTGTGGATCTGACTGGCCAGCCTATAACATATTCCAAATGGGCTCGAGGAGAACCAAATGTCCTTGGGAAAAATAAGGGTGTGATGATAAACGAAAATGGCGAGTGGCAAATTGAAGATCGTGAGTTGGATTCGTGGACAATCATCTGTGAAATTAGCATCTAACAGATGTTGGGTTGGGGAAGGAAAAGAATTCCACCATAGAGTTGAAAACGAAAGCTTACTCTGTTAATCGCACATACAGTCTAGCATATGGCAAGTAAATCCTAATCCAATAGTTTCCCTTGTTTTCAGCGAAGAGATCTGAAGTCAAGTTTTACTCCATTGACTTCAGCCTTGTCATTCCAATGGAAGTTGCCTTCTTCCACTTAAACCAACCACCTTGGAATCCTTCCTCAGTCTTCCACTGAAGTAGTGGCCAGACTTGATGCTGATTAGCTTTTACCATCCATCATCAGATAGATGTTGCCATCTTCCAAGTGTTCCCTAGCTTAGCTTAGATAGCAAAACCTGCACAGAAATGTAACAATTTATAGATCGATTTTCCACCATTTCTAAATAAATGCATTTCCTATCAGCATTTGTTGTTTGAGACTCTATTTTTTTTTTTATTTACATTGAGAGGCAGCTTAATAGACATGGTCCTACAATAACTTTGCTACATTTTCCTGAAATCCTTGGACAGTTATGCAAAGGATTCTTCAGAGCATTGGTGGGGCTCAAATTCAGGGATATTCCTATCAGCTCTCAGAGAGTCAGATTAGGTAATCATACCTCCTCGGTCCTTATTCTTAACACTGGTACACCACAGGGTTGTGTGTTGAGTCCCTTACTCTATACTCTTTATGTACATGACTGCATTCCCATTCACACCAGTAATACTATTATTAAATTTGCAGATGATACAACAGTGGTAGGATTCATCTCTGGTGGGGGGGATGAATCTGTCTATTGAGATGAGGTGGACCTGTTGCTTTCGTGGTGTGGAGACAATAACTTGATCCTTAACACCAATAAGACGAAGGAGCTTATAGTGGACTATAGAAGGAATAGATCAGACATCCAGCCCTTACTTATCAATGGAGACCGAGTGGAACAAGTGACCAGTTTTAAGTTTTTGGGTCTTATCATAAAAAAAGACCTGACCTGGAGTACTCCCATTGCTGCACTGATCAAAAGGGCCCAGCAGAGATTATACTACCTGAGACTTCTCAGGAAACAACAACTGAATGAAAAATTGCTGGTGATCTTCTACCATTGTACCATATCTTAATTTACTGCACCTGTGTATGGTTTGCTAATTGCACAGTGGCAGATAGGACAGCCCTCCAGAGGGTTAACATCATTGGGCAGAGGATCATTAGTTGCCCTCTCCCCTTCTTGGAAGAGCTTTATAGCTCCCGTTGCCTTAAGAAAGTTCAAAACATTCTTAAGGATCCATCTCATCCTGGGCACCTTTTTTTTTTTTTTTGGAACTATTACCATCTGGCAGACGGTACAGGATAATAAAAACAAGGACAAATAAGCCAGGGGTGGGTTCTAATTTTTTTTATTACCAGTTCTGTGGGCGTGGCTTATTTTGTGGATGTGGCTTGAAGGTCATGTGACTAGGTGAGCGTGGCTAGCTGGTCAGAGTCATTTCTGGAAGGTCCTCACACTTACGACCAGTCCTTGCACTTACGACCTGACTCATTTGTTTGCTTTTAACACTGATCAGCTGTAGGATGGCCCTTTGAAGCCCCGTGGCAAGAGTTTAAACAGTTTTTTTCCCTCCAGTCATCAGCTGGGACTCAGGAGGCAGCAATAGATTGGGGGTGGGACCAAATAAAAGGTAAGAATAACGTGGGGGGGGAGGGCGGGGGGGAGAACCAGTTCGGTGACATCATATCATCAGCGTAACCGGCTCGGCCGAACCGGACCGAACCGGAAGGAACCCACCACTGAAATAAGCTGAAAAACATCTTCTATCTCAGAGCAGTAACTATATTGAATTCTACTGTTTAGTGTAATATTAATGCAGTATCAGGAGTTTTCAATTCAATTCTATAGAATGTGAAGGATGTGTGTTTTTGTTTTATTTTTTTAAATAGTTTTCTTATGTATGATATACATTGAAGATGGCATTTAATTTCGTTGTACAAGGTATAATGACAATAAATTAAACTTAACTTAACTTATCATTTTGCACCGAAGGATCCAGATTTGAATTTAAAATTTGTTACAGTAATTTTGTTGTAGTTCAGCCCAAGAGGTCAGAGGTGAACCATGATAAATCCTGGCTAGCTTAATAAAGGAAGTTTGGCCTGGTGGGTTTGAAGCGGGAAAACCCACTTTTCCAAATGCAGGAGATAAGACCACAAAAATTGGAGAACACAGGTTTATTTGCTAGCAAAGGTTCGGAGAATTCACATGTCAGATTCCGAACCCTGGGCTATGCCCAAGGTGTACCTTTTATACATTTTGCAATTCTAGCCACGCCAGAGGCTTCTGACTCTATTTCCATATATGCGTACACCGTCTGTTACTTTCATTGAGCACTTCTGGTAATATATTTCTTAATATAAGTTTGTTACAGTTTAACAGGTAGATGGGGATCCGATACCTGTAGGTGCCATCCTCTGCCCAGGTGGCTGGTCCATAAACCTCAATGATTCTCTCCGGTCGCCATTCATCATCCTTCCAATGACCTATTTTAACCTTTTCAATCAAGGAAGTGTCAATGGCTGCCCGCTTGGACTGGATGTTTCCAACTTCATCATACACTGGTACCCTGGCCAAATTCAGAGGACGGAGGTTTACAGGGACCCAAGGAGTATGTAAGAGGTGACACCTTATAGTGGAATTATATCCCAGTATCAAGTCCCTTCATGCTCACAGGGAGGAGATTATTGGAAGAGCAGTTAGCGAGTCTGGTACTGCTATAAACAAAATGCCTACCCGAGGGTAAGGCCACAAAGCATTCAGTACACAGAAGTACCTTGGAGCTCACCACATTCTGCATGTTATGGATTCCCCCTTGTGTACTCGAAGGGGTGTCCGGGCTCCAATATTCCTCATGCATTACCTCTGGGTAATTTACAGTGGGAGTAGGGGCACACACTCTTTCCATATTCTAACTATCAAGTGCAGCTTGACATCCATATTTCCATATTCTAACTCAAGTCAAGTCATTTCCATATTCTTGACTCAAGTCAAGTCATTTCCATATTCTTGACTCAAGTCAAGTGCAGCTTGACATCCACTTTCCATATTCTAACTATCAAGTGCAGCTTGACATCAGTCTAGGGGTTACTCCCTCATTCCCCCCTACTCCTGAGGCTCCGCCCTCTCCTATAAGGCCTACAATACATATAGCTACACAGATTCTGTCAAGTTGTTCGGTTGTGGGATAGCAATTTCCAGGATAAGTTCGTTTCGTCGCCCATGCGGTGGGTGTTAGCCTCCGGAATAACACCTGCAGGGGTTTTCTTCACCTTTCCCGTTCGTAGAGGGACAGCTCCCGGAGTGTCACCAGAAGGGGAGAGGTTCCCTCTAGTCCTTTGAAGAGTTAGTTTCCACATAAACTTAGGCTTTTTCTTAAAAGCACAGAGAGGAAAGAAAAGTTGAACTCCATTCTTCACCCTGTCTAATGATGGCCATACCAGACTGGGCGAAGTAATTTTCCTTCCTCTCAGTGGTGTCAACTCATTTCTAACAATTTAAAATTCATATCTCTAGAGATCAGGCATTTAACACTTGCAGTTATCTTAAAGGTACCCAAAGACTTAGACATATACACTAGTCATTATAGATGCACAGCAACAAATAATTTTTAACAGAAATCACATAAAATTAGTCAATTCAAATTATCTGAGTCTTCCCATTTAGTTTCAAGTTTAAGTTTCAAGTTTATTAGATTTCTATACCGCCCTTCTCCCGAAGGACTCAGGGTGGTGTACAGCCGTATTAAAACACATAGATTTATAAAATTTAAAACTAATTAAAATTGAATATAAAATTTGGCCAGCAAATTAAAACACACATACGCCCATTTTAAAATTCATACTAGGCCAGTCCGACTTGCTGGAACAGAAGAGTCTTAAGGGTGTGGCGAAAAATACGCAGGTCGGGGCTAAGACGAAGCTCTAGGGGCAGCTCATTCCAGACGGCTGGTGCCCCCACAGAGAAGGCTCTCCCCCTGGGTGTCACCAGTCGGCATTGTTTAGACAGCTTTACCTTTTTATTATCTGCTAAACCCCAGGTGGGAAGAACAATAAACAATTTTCTTCTCCATTCTTAGGTCTTTCAGAGTTCTCTGGGTCTTTTAAGAATGGTAAATTATCAGAATCTTTATAACACTGCAGTATTTCTTTTCTCCTACCACACATAACAGTATAAACTAACCATATCTTCTTTGGCCAGCCCCAACTTCTGAATCATTTTACTGTATGGTGGGGCCTCTCAACTTCTAAATATTTTCCTTTTAAGGACTAGTCAGGTCTATTTACAGTTTGGGATTCTTTCTAATTGTTTTAGTGAACTTCTCACTTTTTACTCAAGGTTTCATCCATTGTTCCATCTCCTCAAGCACTGGATTGTCTCTGGCCTGGGGATGTTCTGTCTAGCTCTTTCTCGCTTGGATCTCCCAGCCAATGCTGGCCTATTTTTAAAGATAGAAACTCTTCTCCATCCAGTTTAGATCTCCCAGCAGGCGCTGGCCTATTTTTAAAGATCCAAAATGTATAGAGCTTTGGTTCACACATCATTTGCACCTTGCCAGGGCTCTCATGAGCAAGTTTGAACTCCACTTTTTCTTTTTAAGGACCTTTATTTAGCCAAATTGGTTTTCCTGTGTCATCCCTACTAAAACCTTTCTTGGTCCTTGTTGGTATGCACTCAGGCCATCCAGTATATGTGCAAATAAGAACTAAAATTGCACGATGTGGACCTGACCTTGGCATATCTGTAAAATCAATCATCAGAGTATCAAAAGGATAACTTCCTGTGAGTTGATGGCCTTGAGGCACTTGGGGCCCTTGTCTGGGATTATTGGCTGCACACATTTCACATCTCATACAGACATTGGCAGCAATTCTGGGTATCTTATTGATGTATACTTCTCGTAGTAGGGACTTGGCCAATGCAGTCTTTCCCAAATGTAGTTGCTTATGGACTTGTCGCACAGCATCCCATGCTATGTGTCCCAGGACCAAAACGCGCTGGTCGGGAAGAATCCAACATCCATCTTCCAATGTTGCCTCAAGTTCCTTAGCTTGTTGCAATTCCTCCTTAGAATAATTAGGTCTAATTTGTTCATCCTGGACCCATAGAGTTAAACAGTTAGCCTGTATAATTAAAGGCTTCAGTGCGGCTCAACGAGCTTCCTAGTCGGCCTTATTATTGCCTTGCTATGTCTCTGACGCTGTCTTCTGGTGTCCTCTACAGTGCATAACGGCGACTTCTCAGGGGGCCCAAATGCTGTCCAACAGGTGTGAGATCTGGGGCCCATACTTAATGTCCTTTCCCCCAGTCATAATAAGGCCCCTCTCCTTGTATATGGCCCCATGCACTTGCACTGTCAAGAAGGCACATTTA